TAAAAAAAATTCCATATGTGTGTTAATTGTTAATTTCATTTTTATTGTCAAACACAACTTTTAACATAATTAATTAATTTCAGGTGTATACTCCTCGATGCATTTTTAATCTTCTGCAAATCAAAATTTTCAAAATTATTTTTCATAGAAACTCTTGGCATGTTCTCAGCCAGCATTTATCTTAGTTTCTTAATAAGTATATAATAAGTTACTATTCTCATTGATACATCTCTGAATAATCATTTACATTTTTCGCATATCATTGTAATTACTTTACACTTCTCTAAAATAATCCTTTCATTCATCTGAAATAGCCCAAATAGTTTATTCTTAAGTGGATTCTTTCAGTCGGAGGCTCTTGTGTTTAGCCTTTTTCATCCAATTTAAAAACATTTTTATTTCCATCAATACATTAATTGTAGTTCTTTTTTCCCCTTTCTATACCAAATGTACAATATATTACATCACTTTTTGCAGCAATCACCATCTTAGATGCATTTCCCCCCATCTACAGCCTCTTTTACTTCATTATTCTACCAAGCATCCTTTTTCGTATTTCCCATCTAACTCCCCAAATTTCTGTGGCACTTTGTAACAAAATTCTTTTTACTGTGATTCAAGCAACTTTATATCGTCTTTCCTTTCAGCCATTTTCCATTAATTCTTTTGGGAAATTAATGTATTTTAATACCTTTTTCATATAGGATTCTTATTTTTTCTTTTTTGCTGCCAATGTACTTTCATTCTTTATTGTATTTTCACACTTATTTTTCTTTGAGGTTCATTTTTCCCAAGATCTACTCTTAACACTGCTAAACAATGGTCCATCTCACATTCAGAATTTCTTATTACTCTTCCTCATATATCCTTCACTAATTTTCTTAATCTTTCATTATAAACAATACAGTCAGCTGTGCTGTTAGACTTTCATTTTCGTCTTGTCTGTACACAAGAATAAATGTATGCTTAAACTGTATGTTTGAAACAAGCAGGCCTTTTTCTAAGTAGATTTTCACTAGGCAATAATTCTAATTCATTTCTGGATATTTAAATGAGAACATACTGCATTTTTCCCCAATACTTTGCTGGTGTGTTTACTGGTCTTCACTGGAGCAATAGCTAACCAATGGATTCCTAATTTTATATGAATTTACAGTAAAGTGACATTGGAAAAAAATCAGATTCAGTCATGTGATGCCTTGGCTGTTAACTTCAACAATGTGCAACCTTAATTATGGGCCAATTATGGTTGTAAGTGGAGGACTACCTTTATGGTTTGGGTGAGTCAAAGCTTTCACATAGTCATTTCTAGTAAGATTGAGAAGATATTGTATACATTGGTGATTTAGTGTTAGATGTAGCATCTGTTCTAATGCTAAAGGCAATCCTGTTCAGTTTTGACACATGTTTAATACAACCAAAGTCCAGTATTATTTCTTACATGCTGCTGCTGCTGTAGTAGTAGTAATAGTAGTAGTAGTAGTAGTATGGCATTGTTACAGTAGACAGGAGACAACAATGCTGTTGCAGAGTAGTTGTTTGCTTGCTAAGATACTAGCCCTATTATAGGAAACATTTACGTGTTTCCCAGAGTGCATCATAGGAGGGTGAGCTGGCTTTGCACCAGAGAGGAAGATGAGTGGCTCTTCCTGCAGTGTCGCCCAAAACCTCCTCCATTCTTGGAACTGCCCTGCAAGTGGGCGCCACAACCTGGAAAGTTCAGAGCCACCAGGAATCTGACTGCCTGCACATAAAATGTGCTGGAAACTGCAAGGTAGACAGAAGCTGAGGCAACTGGTGGAAGCTCACTCCACCATGCAGAGCTAGGACTTGAACTGCTAGAGCTGAGACTATCTCCAGCGTCATTAAGCTACTGCACCTCCTTCTTACATGCTCACAGCATTCTATTAAACATAACATTTTTTATATAGACCAGTTCACTTCAGTCTAGTATGTCCTTCACTTTTTCTATGTGCATGTATGTACAAACCTCAGTAGCTAGTTTAGACAGAAAGGCAAATTGCAATAACTTCAATTTAGGCAGAGTGAATACATACTTATATGCATACATATATACTTGTTTTTAGTTTATTAATAGCTGAAAGATTATCAGATAATTTTGAGGAGTCTTTAACAATTTGTTACTTTGTAAGCATTGTATTTGAAAAATGTTCTATCTTCTACCATAAAAGCTGGTTTAATTTTTTACAAGTTCTGTACCATACTTTTAAATCAATCTACAGTACATACAACCACTTAATCAGTAGCTGAGTGGGAAACTTTGCTTATTTGACCAAGTCTGGGTAAGTTCTCCTTCTGTAGTATTTTATTCATTAGGATTTTTCCCAAAGATTCCTTACTCGTTTGCTTTCTTGAAGACCTGGAATTATATCTGGATTTCATAGGGTTCAATCCTTGGTTCATATTCTTAGAGTTTCTTGGATATCACTTGGCGACACTGCTTTAGTATATTTTGGGTGTGCCTGAGATTTGTCTTGGAACTGGGCAGTGAGATTTTGCCTAAGGCCTTCATGCTGTTACTCTGTTCTTAAGAAGGTTTTTGTCAGCTACGATTTAAAGAAGATTAAGGTCAAAGTTTGTTTTGAACTCTTAAGAAAATTGGAGAAGCAGTAGCAGGTGTTTTTATATGTGAATGGCCTCATGAGGCATTACAATTATCAGACCAAGCAGGAGAGAAACTTAAATACTCTCTTCTGGTCCCAAGTTTAGAAAGTGGTATCAGTATTCTGTTTTTCCTGATACAACAGCTCATCTAGAAACAGAACTAGAAGAGCATCAAATAATGCTTCACATTTTTCTAGTGTCTCGTGCAGAAAATTAGTAATACGCATATTTAAATACAGTATATTTTTGATCTGCACTCAATTTTAGAAATCTATTACCTCTACCTGTGTGAACATGTAAACACAGTGTGTCCCAGCTCATATATGATGTTCTTCAAGGCCTCTCTTCATGGTCATGTTTGGGCCCTCCAATTAGTAATACTGGTAGTTATTTTATGCATTTGTTTCTTTTTATCAGATTTATCCTTACCAAGCCCAGAACTGTGGATAAATATCTTTTAATCACATTTTATGCACATAACATTTGCTGGATCTTTTGCAGCAAATCCATTATGAATCAGAATATCCCACCCCCACCTCCATCCCTTATAATGTAGGGTTTCAGTTTTTAGCTAGATTTAACTAATAGTCCCAAAACAATGTTCAGAGGTAGAAGCATGCATGAAGAATAGAAAATTTGTGTGAATTTAATATATACCTTAAAAAAAGAAATATCTTTCTGTGTTTCATTTCCTTTCCCTGGCATTTCACCTTTACAGTAAATAATCAATCTATTGTATCTTTATATTTGGCATGATTATATGTAGCAGAATTACTCTGCTCCAGGGGAAATGCACTCAAACTAGTGATTCCTATAAAGTGTATTTGTGTCAGTTGATTATTCTAGTATTTAAACACTGTAAATCTTTTAAATTGAGAAAGTAATGGTTGTCTTCAATATTATTTTATAGAGTGAGCCATTAGAAATAGTCTATGTTGAGAATCTGCTCAAAACTTTCCAGGGAAAGACTCAGCTGCTGATGTCTGAATGGCCATGTTATTACAAAATTAGTGTCTACACATTATGAACAAAATATTTAGATTATTTTGAGAGAGCATACCTTTTGATATGACACAGAATCTACTCTCTTCCCATGATGATGGCAGAACCATATGTAGTATTAGCAAGACACAGGTGCTTAGTTGTACTTTATTGCCACATGTCAACATGATGGTGATGAGGTATAATTATTTTCATTGTTGAGTGAAAGACTATTCCATTGTGTCTCTCTTTCAAAATTGTCTCTTGGTATGAAACTTGACCTGCAATCATTGCAGATGCTTTGCTGTGCAGTAGTGGGAAGAGCATCTCACTTCCAATATAGTTGTCAATCCATTCTAAATTTTATGTTTTATGCCTGTCTTTTTCCATTTTTCATACACGTTCCCACAGTGAGCAGATTCTGTTTTTGACATGCAGTGCTAGAGTGAGTAATTTTGTTTTTAATAAGAAAATTTGGGAGAACTTCCAAATGATATCTGTACAGATATATTTTTAACTGCTCAAGACAGACTTCCGCTGACCTTTCTGTTCTGTTAACATGCACTTGGTAGGCTGAGTAGTCCTTGGATACATTGAAGATTGATACATCCTAGGGTTGCTCTGCCAGTTTCAGACTATAAGTGCAATTTTATTTCAGATGATATTAGTAGATCCTAAGAACAAGTTTCAAGATATGCTATTAAGACTTAATAGTGTGAAACATTTTATAACATATATGCAAAAAGTAAAATCCTGTAGAACTTCTTAATCAGATGACAATAAATCATATATTTTGATAATCAAAATAATATTTAATAGAATATTCTAGCATTTTTGTTTCATTAAAACTGTTTAGATATTGTTCAGTAATTGTTTAGTAATTAACCCTGAAACTTTAGACACATCTCCAGATGATTTTCCCAATATATGTATGTGGATATGAGGAAGTATTAGAACAAGATTCAACCTTGAAACTCCAAATAGCTTTTTCATAGTTTGAGTAGCCAAGAATCTCATGAGAAGACAATACTATTTTCTATTATTATTATCTCTTTTATTCATTAAACATGAAACTCAGTCAACTGAACATTTAAAAATATATCACAAATACCAGTGACTGGTGCTAATGGTTGATATGGGTTGCTGCCAGCATTCTAGGTATCAACTAAGTATCTAGAACCCTGGGAGTAACCCGTATCAACCATTAGCACCAGTCACTGGTATTTGTGATACATCATCATCATCGTTGTTGTTATTGTTATTGTTTTTGTTTTTATTTCAGCCTTACCACTGGCAAAAGCAATCCAGGAGTATACCACAATCAGTAGTAGTGAATGCCATCTAAAACTGGTGTGTTGCCATCTTTAATCTTTTTCATGTTTTGTTTTATTAAGGCTGATAAAGAATTTGTATGGTCTTTATGGAAACGTCTCCAGGTTGCAAACCCAGATGTTACTCAAGCAATCAGTTTGGTTGTGGAAAGGTAAGCACTGCAGGATTATTTTTTTAACTATGCATTTTATGTCCCACTATATAAGTAAAGAAACTTAGCAGTGCTATTCCTGAAATTAAGATGTAATTTCCTAAGATATATTCTAGATACCTGGAAATTGAAAGTAGCTAAGTAGACAGCTATGTCTTCTAATTTATTCAAACATTCAACACATTCTACTTGTTAGAGGGTTGTAGTCTAAGCCATCCAGTTTAAAAAATCATAATAAATTTTCTTCTAATCTGGTGTGTTTTAGTGTAAATAGAGATAAAGATATAAATGTAAGTACAATGACACTGCTTTCCTGGGTAGGCAGAAAATTATCTTAGTGTAGCTTTTTCCTTGGCTATGTTCCATCTGTGAAGTGGAGGTTTATTGGGATTTGGCATAGATCTTCATTCAAAGCCATATGGCTTTCTTAATACAACTATCCAATAACTGTTCTAACTATTACAATTTCTAGTCTGGAACTTGTTATATCTTATTTCTCCCATGATGACAAAAAAAGAAAGTCTGCCTTCTCTTTTTTACTCTACCTAGAATTAAATTTTCAAACACTAGATATGGGTAATCATTCTGCAAAAACATCTTCAGGCTTTCTTTTCTTCCTGCATGTACTTAGGACATATTGGGACTATATTGTCTTGTTAGTTGATGCATATATGAATTAAAATTATATAAGGTAAGCAGTAGTTCTACAAATACCTTTTAAATGTATTTTTAGATAAATAGATAAAAGATAGGCAAGTAGGTGTCTTCTAAAAATGTCTAAAGATAATAAACTTTGCTAAACTTTGCTACATCATGTTGGACATGCAGATGAAATTGGGGAGAGAGAAATTTCCTCAAGTAACACTTCCCTCCCCATGTAGAGCGTTGAAGGTCAAAACCATTAATATGGAAGTAATGAGGCTTGGTCACTCTTACTGTCACAAGTTAGGCCTTAAAAGCATTCACACTCATGTTTGGTCAAGTTCATCTTTTTTTTAGAATAATTTTATTAAAATTTCACAGGTCCTTCCTAAGTTACTTCATCTCACCATAAAGGTATTGTGAAAACTCCCTGTCTTTTGTTTAACCATTTCCTAGTATTATCTCTTCCCTTTTTCTCTCAAGGTTATCCTCACATATTATACTTGAGAATGAATCTAGTAGCATCAGTATTTTCAACCACTTATTTTTTTTTTTTTTGCTGAGACATTTATATTTTAATAAATGATTCTTTAAGCAGTGCATATATTTTATAATACATTAACTCCCAACATAAATTTAGGAGATAAAAATATTATTATGCATATTCTGATATAATATTTTAAAATTAATATGTAGATGTAAAGATGAAAAGTTGAAAGATGATTTTATTACATATACTTAAATGATATTACTATTAGTACTGTACAGTCAAATTTTGAATAATTAAATCATGAAGAATTATATATATGGTACAGCAAACACTAACATCAATAATTTCAATTTTAATATTTATATTATAACTATGTATTATTAATGTAACTAATATTATCAATATTATCACTATAATTATGTATTGAAACCAATGATACCCAGATGCCCCACTATACATGTATTCAATACTTAAGTATATTTAGGGCTTCCGGTTTGAGTTTCTTCAGTGATGGACCAAAATCCATGATCATGCGCGGTTTCAATCCGTGCTCGCCACCGGACCGCCCTGAGCCAGCTGGATTCAGGGCTAAGCCATCCCATAGAGGTGGTGAAGAGGCGGGAGACTGCCAGCAGGGTCGAGGAGAGCCGCATCTCTTCTCCTCAGCTGGCCATTACTCCCTTTCCCAAAGGTGGTTGCAGCGGTGCTCAGAAATGGCCACCTCAAAGAAGAACTCGACCAGAAAAGAATGTGCAGGAGAAAGATAAGAAGAGAAAGTTTTGGTTGACCGGGTTAAACTGAAAAAGCAATAATGTTAGGTACCCTGGAATTTGAATTATAAAAAATAACATTGTTCCCCAAAAAGACTTTGAAGCAGCGAAGGAAGAGGGAAGGGAAGGGATTTGGCTTTTTTTTCTTCCCTTCCTTATACTGACAGCTAAGAGATTTAAGTAAGAAATTGACAAAAATCCACTTTGACATCAGTAGGCATTTAAGCTGAAAATAAAATGTCAAAGGAATAATAAAGACTTTTGGATACTCAAAAACCTTTAAAAGCAGGAAAGGAGAGAAAAGGAAAGAATAAAAGGCAGGATCTGGAAAAATGGAGGAGACTGCCTGGAACTAAAAGGAACTTATGGTGAAACCTTAACAAGATTCCTAAAAGATACATTCTAACTGAAACTTTGTAACAAAATAATAGAACCCCAGGAAGAGAAAGTGGAAAAAAGAAGCAAGAAGAAACAGCTTTGAAATATTTGGATTACTTGGTGATTTTTGGATTTTTGGCTATTGGATTTAAATGACTAAAATCAATCGGGTGGTTGTTTAAAAGTGTTTAAAATGGCATCACTTTTAGAAGAACTGAAAATGGAACTTAAAAAACAGAATGAAGATGCACAAGAAGAAAGAGGTTCTTTTGGCTTCATGTTTCAATTTTTAGAAATGGAGATCTGGAACTATGAGAAACAACAAGAAACGCTTGTAGAACAAGAAGGTTGGGACAAAGAAGAAGCCATCTTTAATGATCAAGTAATTTTATGTGGGGGGGGAAAAGGAAAGGGGGGAAAGAGAGTGAAAAGTTTAAGATTTGAAAAAACAACCCCCAAAAAAGAACAGTTTGAAAAATACTAACAATATTAGGAAGCAACAGAAGAGAGGATCACAGAAGAGAGGATTAGAAGTAGAGAGACAAGGGGCAAAAGGGAAGGGAGAAGAAGAGGGGGAAGAAGGAAAGGAAAAGAAGTTATAAAAGACAGAAAAAAGATATACGGAAACAGGGAAAATGTATAAGAATTGAAAGTATAAGCCTATTTAGAGATAATGGGTGAAAATTTAATTGAAAAAGGGATTCTGCAAAGGTACATAAGATAGTATTGTTATATTAGAAATAGAAATAATTTTAGAAAATATGAAACAATGTATGATTAAAATGATGGATAAAATACTTATTGCAATGCAGTGGAATGTTTGTTAATAAATAAATAAAGTGAACGAGAATGAAATTAGGAAAGGATGGGAACATTTTAATTAATGATATATAAAAATATAAGTGAAGAAAAATATGGAAAAAAAGAATTAATTATGGAAAGTTTATAAGTGTTCACAAGGAAGTATGATGTTCAATTGAAAAGAAATGTTAAAGATGTTAAGATTCTAACTAATATTAATGATAGAATTGAATTGGAATGGAATGAGTGTTTTATTTACTTTGGTTATGTATGTATGGTATGCAGCTTTGTTTGGGTATTTTCCCACATCGTTATAGTTGTGTTTTTAAAGTTGTAGCAACATGTAGGCAGGACCCCTACATAAGAGATACTACAGACAAAATCAGTAAGATACTACACAGGCATCACATCAAGACTGCCTTCAAAACAGACAGAAAAATAGCAGCCATCCTTAGAAACCCCCAAAGATAAAATTGACCTGGAAAACCAAGGCATATACGAAGTCCCCTGTGCATCATGCCTGGCCACATACATTGGACAGACCAATAGAAGAATAAGTACCCACCTGGATGAACACAAAAATGCAGTAAAAAAGCTGGAACACACTTCCTCACTAGTCCAACACATGAAAGCCACAGGTCATAGCATCAACTTCAATGGCACCAAAACCCTAGCCACTGTAGAAAACCAGCCACAGAATTATCAGAGAAGCCATAGAGATTGAAAAAAGACCTGAAAGCATGAATAGAAGAGATGATTCCACCAGACTGTCAATTATTTGGAAGCCTGCACACAAACAAAAAAAAAATCTCCACACCACTAGCCAGGCAAACACCTGGGCACAAACAGATCCCCCCTGATACCTCCAGCTCAAACACACCCCAACCAGGCACCCAAATGAAACCTAGCTTCCTAATAAATGATAGCCGTCCATTTACTCGGAGCCAAGCTGCACTAAAAGCCTCCAATACAGGAACACAATGTTGCCAGCCAATCAAGACACAAAAAGCCACAAAACATGCAGAATATATTAGAAACACCAATCAAGCAGAACACAGCAAACTCCAAGACCAATAAACACAGACCAAGACTCCCAACCAATCAGGATGAAGAAAAAACCATTCTGGCACAGCAGTAGGCTAGCCCCAAATTTAAAACTGAAACAACTGTAAAAGTCTGACTCACAGATGAACACAATACAGAAGCCTGATGATGGCAGTTGAGATTCTGCTGAAATGTTGCTACAACTTTAAAAGCACAACTATAATGATGTTGGCTTTGTTCGGGTATTTTCCCATGTCACTGTAGTTTTTTCTTAAGCTTTCGCGGGTACTTACATGTATGGCATTCGGCTTTGTCTGGGTATTTTCCCACGTCATTGTAGTTACACCCGAACAAAGCCGAATGCCATACATGTAAGTACCCACGAAAACTTAAGAAAACAAATACACACACACACACTTAAGAACATAGTGTGTATTTTAAGAATGTACCAAGCAGAATTCAATTGGAAGTTATGTACTATATTGAACGTTATAATTTTAAAGGCATAAATTGAAGTTTAAATAAGAGTTGAATGGATAAAATTAAAAGATATAAAGGTGTCATACTCCAATTAGTAACTACAGGGGAAAATTTGTTTAATGAGAAAAGATAATATGAAATTGAAGCAGGACAGAAAAAAGTATAAATATAATGATTGGAAAGACATTGAAACTTAGAAAAAGATATATAATTGAATTTAGATATGCGATAATTAAAAATAAAGTTGAGAAAACCAAGGAAGGGGAAAATTATGGAGAAAAAGTTAAAATAGTAATAAGATATGGAATAGAACACAAAGATGAATCTGAAATTGAGTTTGTGTCTGTATGAAGAAGTGATAACCCTAGTTCATGCTATTCTCAAAAAAAGATGTT